TGCAATATTACGTAACGTTCTTTAGGTAGATTACTGCAGTCACCTGACGTATCGTTACGTGTTTCTGCGTTAATGTAATTTCTTGTACTGTGCTTTGATGGAGGAATGAATTCAATTAGCATACATCATTTTAGGAATTATTTTATGGGAAATTCATAATATTTGAATATTTGATGGTAATGTGGTCGTCATATAACGCGCAAACTTGCATAAATTATGAAAGGTATTTGAAGAATCGTCATTTTAGTGCTGTTATGTTATACGCAAATTTCAATCTAACTCAGAGGTGAATTAGCTTGTAGCTGGTTGGTGCATTACAATTTATAGCTAATGGTTAGGACCGACATCTTACAAATCTTCTTTGTACTAGTATTTTGTCATAAACATATGTTTTATGATCTATGTCTTATTTTTATCCGTATGAACAGCCAGGTTTCCTTTGTAATGTCACAAAATAATTAACATCTACAGACGGAGGCAACTGACTATAGGATACTCGAAAGGTAGAGAGTTCTGCCACATTTCCGCTCAAAACAGTCCTAGAAATGTTATTTTCCGGTTGATTTATTTCATTTCTTCTATATTCATACAAAGACACACTTAGGTTTCAAGCATTTTTAATAGGGAATGAGAACATTTTGTAATAATTCCAAGCAATGATGCAGAAAAGAATTAGATATATCATGACTAGTAGTAGCACAGTGGATAAGCTCCCTGCTTCAATTATTAATTATCAAGAAGTGCAAGGTTCAAATTCAAGTTAAGATATCTTTGTGAAAAAGAAATTGAATTTAAAATAAATATGTTTCATTTGTATGTAACTTTGTTTTAGTAAATAGTTAGGCCATTAGCTCCATATCAGGAAAAATGATGAACAAATTTGAACTCTTCTTTAATGGAGGTATAAAAAGGTCACTGGGACTCTCTACCTTAAGTTGTGACATCACGGGAGTGACGCAATGCTTGTGTACCATAATATCGACGTTATCTTTGACTTATATTTATAATGGACAAAATATTCTAAATTTTTCAATATGCTTGCATACAATTCTTTGATGAAAATCATAAAATTTATTTTCTTTATTTCATGTTGGATTAATGAAATTTGTCCAGATGTCTACTGAAGTAAAAATGTCAAAATTTGTTTTGTTTTGTAGGAAGTGTATGTACAGTAGCATGTAGGCTTATACAATGTATATTTATGTATGCAGAAAACAGAAAGTTAATGTGGTAATTTTAATCCCGACTGTGTATTGTGAATAGTAGGCCGAATAGACAAGTTCAATGCTAATGAAGTCGTTAATTATGCAGTCTTATATACACACATATTATTAACTTTTAATTATATTTTATACCTGTTGGTGGAATTTGCTATTCTGTATCACCTGTAAGACTGAATGAACCATAGTTTACTGTGGATTGGTGTCTGCCGTCTGTTCAACCTTTAATGCTAGGCAGTAACAATAATAAGCTCTAAATACAAAGCATTTTGCTTTGTTTGGTTTTTGGTTGTTTTTGCATTCGCCATTAGCATACTATACTAAGGCAAGAACAATTTGAATGTGTTCCAATCCACTGAGCTGTATCAGTGTGTACTGGCATCAGCAGGGAAGTTAAAAATGATGGCAAAGCAAAATGACCTTTGTTTGCGGTAATAATTAGTTAAAAGCTGGATAAACAGACATGAATGAGTTAGGGGATGGGAAGGGAAAGGGGGGGGGGGTATGAAAGGGGGGAGAAATGCTTGTTGTCAAAAACAGCAGTTGGTGTGTCTGTCAGAGGTGCCCTATTCTGGAAATATAAACTATATCAATGTGTATCGGCATACAATTTAAAATCCTGATTAAAATTTCAGGGACAAATGTTAAATATCAGATTGCCATGGATTGCCTGACAGAACTTATATTACCATAAAGTGCAGCCTTAATTGACACCAGGTTAAAATATCTACAAATGTATGACTCACTTCTGATATCTGGGAATCGGGTGCATTTTAAATATATCCTGTTAAAAAGGAGAAAGGATTATTTTTGGGTGTCTTTTCAAATTTTGGTTTTAATGAGTACTGTGCTAGGACGTTTAGTATTGATTTTACATTAAATTTATAAGTGTCAAAACTTTTATGTCATTCAAATTGAATGGCCTTTTAAAGTCCTTATATTTGCCCTTAAGGATCCCTGTCCCACTACACTATGTTTTTAGCTCACCTGGCACAAAGTGCCAAGTGAGCTTATGCCGTGGTGCGGCGTCCATCGTCCGGCCGTCGCCCGGCCAGCCGTCCAACGTCAGGCGTCAATATTTTACTTTAAAACGACTTCTTATTAATAACCGAAAGGCCTAGGGTGACGATATTTGGCCAGAAGCAAACTGGGATGAAGGGCTACCAAGTTTGTTCAAATAAATAACCTTCACCATTTTCAAGGTCACAGGGGCCAAATATGTTAAAACCTTTAAACAACTTCTTCTGAATAACAAAGAAGCCTAGGATAATGATGTTTGGCCAGTAACATGCTGGGATGAAGGGCTACCAACCTTGTTCAAACAAATGACCTTTACTTATATTCAAGGTCACAGGGGTCAAATATGCTTAAAACCTTTAAACAACTTCTTCTCAATAACTAAGAAGCCTAGGATAATGATATTTGGCCAGTAACATGCTGGGATAAAGGGCTACAAAGTTTGTTCAAACAAATGACCTTCATCTATTTTCAAGGTCACAGGGGTCAATTATATTAAACATCTTTTAAAAACCTCTTCTCAATAACCAAAAGGCCTTTGCTAGTAACATGCTGGGATGAAGGGCTACCAAGTTTGTTCAAACAAACGACCTTCGCCTATTTTCAAGGTCACAGGGGTCAAATATGTTTAAAACCTTTAAAAAGCTTCTCCTGAATATCCAAGAGGCATAGGCTAATGACATATGGCCAGTAACATGCTGGGATGAAGGTCTTCCAAGTTTATTCAAATGAATTACCTTCATCTATTTTCAAGGTCACAGGGGTCAAATATGTTTAAAAACTTTAAACAACTTCTTCTCAATAACCAAAAGGCCTTGGATAATGATATTTGGCCAGTAACATGCTGAGATGAAGGGCTACCAAGTTTGTTCAAATGAATGACCTTTGCTCATATTCAAGGTCACAGGGATCAAATATGTTTAAATCTTTAAATGACTTGTTCTGAATATTCAAAAGGTCCAGGGTAATGATATTTAGCCAGAAATATGCCGGGATGGAAGGCTATAAACTTTCAAGGTCGCAGGCGTCATATGTTTAAATCATTTAATAGATTCAAATGGACCGAACACAGACATTTTGCCTGTAGCTGTATATTAGTCCACTTTTAAGATTACAAGTGTGAGATTAATACCAGGTGAGCGATTCAGGCCCATTGGGCCTCTTGTTTCCTATAGAAGGTAACCTCCCCTTAACTTCCATTTGGACATAACTGTAGCACAGTTGTGCCAGCTAGGACACTTCAATTGACCTGGTAGCTCAATCAGTTAAAGCGATATTATAACAATCTGAAGTGCAGGGTTCGAATCCTGGTTTAGCCCCACTGATGTTGGTTTTTTCACTCGGAACACTGTTGTTGATTATATTTCATTAATTTCTCATTAAAGTCCCACAAGGTATGTTTTTCTTTTCAGAAATGAGTTATCAAAGCTTAAGTCATGACGAAAAGAAAAAAAATCCAATACTTAGTTACAGTTTTTGTCAGTGGTACGGGGATCCTTAACAATTATGTGTTTATTAGAAATATGTATAGAAATAATAAAAGTGGACTAAATTCATTTACATTAAGCACTGGCTCCTAGTTTTGCTAATCATCTTTTCAACGAATGGTATAACTCATTCACCCCTAAAGACACATTTTAATTCTTCCTATTCAAAGGTCGGAATAGTTCATTATGAAACTTCAGGGGTGTGAACAAGGATCGAGTTCTCGTGTGGGTAAAAGTGTTGATTCTGTAACAAGATTGAATAATCAATCAATCGGTGCCCCATTTCTTTCTCTGGACTGATTATATAGGCTATTGGCCTGGGACTGCCATCGAAAAAGATGATAGTTAATTTTTGATATCCTCTGTGTATATTTTGGTCACTATAATGTCAGTTTCTTCTGCCCTAACGCTTACTGCCAGCATGGCAGCTGCTGTAAATACGATGTTCAAATCTAATACATTGTTATTACATTTGCTGTTTTTTATACAATTTATCTTCAAATAATTAGACACGAATCAGTCTTGGACTTGTTGCTATATGAAGTATAATGGTGTAAATTATTTCATAAATATTCTGGAAAATTTAATCAAAAGAAGTCTTATGACGTTCATCGCAAACTACTCCAGAGTGTAAGAAATACAAAACAACAATGGAAGTGATGTCACACACTGAACGACCCGGCAGTGAATTCATGACATCATGATTTCATAAAGGGGAGTTTTGGGTATCTAATTTTCATTGTGGTAGTCTGCTATTGTGATTTGCTTTGGTCAGGTAGTGCACAAAGATGCCATTTTGTTTATGTAATTTAACATTTGACCTGTTTCCATGGTAATGGAAAGGTATTATTGTGATTTATTACTAACTTTCTCATTTAGCCATTTAGCGTACATGTATTTGCATACAGTAGTGTCATTTTATACAAACGCTTGTCCTAGGCATTTTGGCATAACAGGAAAAAAATGCTTTTGTGCATCAGTTTGCACCAAAAGATTACTTTGTGTTTATTAAATGTGTCAGTTTGTGTAATATTTTGCAGTGCTAGGATTTAATAAAGAGAATCTCAAACCTGTTTCATTTCAAGTATACATACACATGTAACAAGTGAACTTGTTTGAAATTCGCTGCATTTAGTAGAAAACCAGTTGTCATTGTACACCAAGAGAAAATGAAGCAATTTTCCTGTATAATTTCATTGATGGATACATATAGATAGGACAACTGAAAAAGCTTTTATTTAAGATTTACATGCATGAACCACCTTTATCTTTACAGAGGGGCAGATACCCAAGGGTGCAGCGTACATCGACAAATCAAAGACCGAGGATGGCTCATACTCAGAGCAGAAATCACCGGTGGAAAAACGGCCTGTCAAATACGAGGGTATTGGGCCAGTGGATGAAAAAGGCATGCCTCTGTCCTTCAGAATGGTAGGTTTTAATAATAATTTGAGATTCTTGTATACCGCTTTATCACAACCTAGTTCGTAGGTCGTCTCAAAACGGTTCACACATTATTATCCGTGGTTATAGGGCCTTTGCAAACAGCCAATATCTTTGTCAACTCCCTGGGGAGCATACAGCCGATACGTGCTGCCATTTTGGCGCTCACAGCTAGCATTTAACAAATCTAGCACTGCCCAACCACGTACTCATTTACAGCTGAGTAGACTGGAACAAGCGGAGTAAAGTACCTTGTTCAAAGATACAACACAGTGATGTGACTTGACTCGAACCCGCAACCTTTCAGCCTGGTGTCCTACCAATAGAATACAGTGAGCTTGTCATACTCGAGGACGGGTCAAATGTCAAGGTCAAGGTTAAATAGATAAAAAATGAATTCAAACGATTATTGTCAGTTGATGAATAAACACATATGTGGGCGTGATTTTTAGGTCACCTCAAGTCAGCTCAAGTGACCTATTGCTATCCGTTTTCGTCCGTCGTCATCCGTCCGTTAACATTTTTCATTTCAAACTTAAAGTCAAGTTCTGCTGGGCAGATTAAACTGAAAGTTGGTAGGAATGATCGACTCATGGTCCTGACAAGGTGTTGTTATTTTTCGGGTCGATCACAAATCCAATATGGCTGCCACGGCCGCCATTTTGAAAAACTATTTCAAACTTAAAGTCAAGTTCTGCTGGGCAGATTGAACTGAAAGTTGGTAGGAATGATCGACTGATGGTCCTGACAAAGTGTTGTTATTTTTCAGGTCCATCAGAAATCCAATATGGCCACCATGGCCGCCATTTTGAAAAACTATTTCAAACTTAAATCCAAGTTCTGCTGGGCCGATTGAACTGAAAGTTTGTAGGAATAATCGACTCATGGTCCTGACAAAAACTATTTCAAACTTAAAAACAAGTTCTAATAGGCCGATCTCACCGAAAATCGGTCTAGGAATGATCAGCTCATAGTCCTGACAAAGTTAAGTTAACATTATACTTGACTATTTTTTACTCAAATTAGTACATATTTCAACAACAAAAATAAATACTGTAGGACTCAAGTGACTGTCACGGCCCATGGGCCTCTTGTTAATTTTTGAACTTTTTAAGTTAAAAATCCTCACAAATTTGAGGAAAATATTTTTTTGTTCAAAAGGGGGGCACTATTAATCTTAGGTTTTTCATAACATGTAAATGCCTTATTATATCGAAAGTGTAGAGTGAAACACTCGTAATTGTATTTCAAAGTTAGGTATGGTTGTAGCAGAACTGGACTGCATCTATACTGCCAGCGACCAGGTAGCTCAATTTGTTAGAGCGCTCATCTAGATTTCGGAGGTCTTGGGTTAGAATCCCGGTCTGCCCATTGCATTTTTCCTTTCATGTTACATTGTTATCAGTTTTGATGCTTGATGTTTAATTCTATTCAAATTTTCCCTTTTTTTTTAGAATGTGGATGAAGAAAAGCAACATGATTGGTATAAACAGATGTATCGGAGCCTTCACACAGGACACCGCAAGCCAGGTAAGACCTCCATAGTCCTGGCCACTGGTCAATACGTTGTTATCTGACCACTGGTCAGTTGGTAATTTGTAGCAGAATCTGACCAGAACATAACATGACTCCAATTTTCTTACAGGATTCAAACTTTTTTTTTTGCTCAACTGTAAATAATGTCTTTCCTATGTATGAAAGTATATGGTTTTGGTTTGTATTCATGTTTGTGGACAGGTAAGTTTTATTGATCGTTACTACAGGTAAATCAAACAGGTTCCCACAATCACCTGTCCATTTTACCTGCAAACCAGGTGTGTTGGTATTGATTGCATTGTGAAAGGTCAAAGGTCGACCTCCAGGTATATGGAGTTCCAAACCTGTGCAACCAAACACAAGTCAATTCTTAAAAGAAAGTTCTATTGTAAAAAATACGTTTGAAATATTCTTCATCATCACAGGGAAATTTGCGACGAAAATTTGTTTCGTCATTTTGTACTAAGATTAAAGTGCATTGCTGTTTCTTATTGGGCGGGAGTCTGCTATTTACCTGTAGAACATGTCATTTAAAATGTGTGTTTGAATGTGGGTATTGTGTAGTACAATTGTGTGTGTTTAGCGGGCCCAGTTTCTAGGTTAGGTAGCCGATATGAGTCGAGGGATCTGTGGTTGTGTTGTAATATATAAATGTGTGTACTCAAAGGTAAAGAGGTATTGATTCCAAAATATCCCGCATGTTTAAAAATTTGAATACCAAGATCTTCCTACTATCTTCAAACAATATACCGTGACAAGAAACATTTGTGTCCAATCGATACGATCAGGACACTGCGAGGTTGAATGTCAATCTTTTATTTCTTTAAGGTTGTAACGACAATAATAATCATAATAACTCAGAATAACTTCACTGGCTAATTAGCCGGAAAGTTTGCTGACTTTTGAAAAATCAAAATAGATAATTTCCCGATTGAATGTTTTGCAGTCTTCAACATTTTGTAATCAAATGTTATTTTTACTGCAATAGATAATAACCCAATTTTGCCAACTTCAGATCTAGATTGAAAAGAAATCAATAAATCTTGTTTGTAAACAAATGCACTATTTTGACCAAAGATCACGATGTAGTCTTTATATAAAGCCATTAAAAATTAAACTGTTAATTTTTTTTAAATTTACATGAGCAGTGTGGATCATTGCTTCAAACACACAGGTATTTAGAATAAATATTTTCAATGTTTGCGTGTCCTTGAAAATAACAAGTTGCTACATGAAGTTGGTACGCTGTAGTCTTTTAGTATGTCTATAAATAAACCATTGTTTATATACGATAGGCAAATCCAAAAGAACTGCTGATCGAAGCTTCTGTTTAGTGTGGTAAATTGACATACAAGGACTTTTAGAGCCGTTTAAATGCTAACACCAGCCTCTGTAGAAAAATGTTTCATGTATTCTCGAGAGACGGCGCCAGATGCCCATTTGTTTAAATATTTAATTCTCTGCCATCAGGAACCGTCGCAGTCTTTATCAGGAACCGTCGCAGTCTTTAGTCAAGCGCTAAATGTATCATTTTATCCATTTGCAGACATCAAACTAACTATTTTATGCTGCAGATAAAGTACACTGTACTCCATTTGGCTTGGAATATGGAAGTTATTTTGCGTTTATCATAAATATGGATGATAATTGGGCACATTTTTTTCCATTCTGTTGAGTTAAACTTAATTATTAATTAGCAATGTAAACAAAACATGCAGTTAGTTAGGGATTCCTTGGGGCTTCATATAGTCACTAATATCAAACCTCTTTTTTTCGAAACGTTGCACTATGTTAATACCAAGGTGAGATTAAGTATTTCATTTCCTTCTTCTGTTTGTCACTTTCCAGGTATATATTTCTGTAAAAATAAAGAAAATTTATGATTACAAATTCTAGATAACACTGTAAGTTCAGCTATATCAGTTTTATTTTGTGGGCAATTATTACATTTTACGGATTTCTAATGTTCGACAGTATAAAATTTTGTGCAAATTAAAACCTGTTTTATTGGAAACTTGTCTATTCCATATAGAAATGTTAGTACTGTCGGGATATTTGCTTTTGTGTATATTACCTTGTCAAAATGTGTCTGTTTAACTTGATGTTATTGTCTGGATACTGAAGTTTGGTCTGGTATTTTTTCACTCAATAGTATTAAATGAACCATTTGTGCCATATAATACTTCAGACAAGGTGTGACCATTTTCCCTTCTGTATTATCAAAGGAACCAGGTCTGGTTTCTCCTGAATTATTGCATAATACTCGACACAAGGGGAATCCAGAGCATCAAGTGAATCATTCTTTTTCCAGATTCTCTTGAAATTGCCGATCTGGAGGCGTGGTTACAGGAAGCAGGTTAATATTGAACTCTTCCACTTGCAACACCTCTGTACCATCTTACCACGCCACGATTGTCCAACCATACACTACCCAACATATAGCCCACATCCTGTAAACATGCCAGCCTTTGGTTTATTTGCATAACAATTTGTACAGTCTATTTGATGTCCCCTTATCATACACACCTATACACATATTGCTGCCTCAGTTTGGTTTCCTAATTTGCATATAATTATTTATGATTTTGATTTTTACAATAACGATTTAGGAATATAAATTATACCACCAACGCGTGTGTTCCCTCCATTATAACTGTATATACTCACCCGGTCATTATTTTCCCTACAGGTCAATAGTTTCCGACATGGTCACTATTTTCCTGTCCAGTCAATATTTTCCTATGCACGCTCTGCCAGAGAACCTTACCTGTTGAGAAAATGTGAAACTCCTAAAAAAAGTTATTTTACTCAAATGCAGACGGGCTTAAGTCCAGAGTCATCTCCCCTTGTCGCATTTAGCCCTTTGTTAATTAAAGTAACAAATTCATGTTGCTTGATAAATAATTGTGTTATTGAAGATTTGCTGTAATTGAAGATTGGCATAGAGTAAATAAACATGGATATGCATTGTCTTTCTGACATGCATATGTTATTAGTTCTGCAATTTGGGAAAAAACAAAATTCAGACGAAACACAACACATTTATAGACTGCACTGAACTTACATAGCACCTGAACTTAGGTTTCAACACCTATTAACTGTGTGACAGAAAAAAAATTGTCATGGTTTTGGTTTCATCAAAATCAGTATATTAAGCTTCAGTTCACCATGCAGACCTTGAATAGTTAATTATCTCCCCTTCCTGCCAGTTATCTCCCCTTCTTTCCTATATGTTAACGGATGCTTCTGGTTTTGCATTCTGCTAATATGATATAGTTTTATTTCCTTTCTGTTTCAGTAGATTTGCAGACCTGGATATGTTTTAATATGTTAAACATGAAATTTTATGCCGAAAGTTATTTTGTATTTTATTTATTTATTCCTTTATTTGTATAATTTGATTTGTTCGATTTTCAGTTGGTCCATTCATTCACTCATTCATTCATATACAGATTCATTCACCAATTCATTCATGCAACCACATGTATTTTGTAGATATGTACTACAAATTCAGAAATATGTTACTTTGCATTTTTTGTCAGATAATTGAACTGACAATTTCAATTATCACCATCAGAATGAAAATGAAAATTGTTGTTTTCGGTAAAATTTTAAAAATTTCATACCGGTGTACAGTATCTGGAAAAAGAATAATTTGGAAAACTTTTGAAAATATAATTTTGAATATATCATGTCAAATTGCAAACAATAATAGTAATAACGGTTTATGAATAAGTACTTTACTCCACTAGTCCTCGAAATCGTGAGATTATATTGTAATGTATTGGTTTACTTTTCCAGGTACAAATGGAAACAATAAGTCTACCCACAACTTCTCCGACGAAAACTCATCACACAGAGAAGGTCAGTACCATAAAAGATTCCTTCAAAGTTTTTGAAGTAAAGTTGAAGGATAAATGTTTGTCCATGAAAATGAAATAATAACACTGTTCTGATAAGCTTTGTAACAGTACAATGACTTTCTGTTGGCTGCAACTTGACATTTGTGTCTGATATCCTGATAAAGTCGCAATTAACATCTGTCGTTTGTATCAGAAGTAGGTAATTTATTCCCAAATAATTTCACAATTAATTATTTGCCTGTGTTTCATAAGGTAAGGAATGGAGGTCTTTCAGGAAACTTTGATCTACTAGGTTTCAACTTCTTGGGTCTCCTCAGGAAGATTCATCCAAGAGCACTTTCTTAAGGATGTCGGGTGGAGGGAGATAAATCTTTTGAAAAATATGTGGGGGATTTTTGGCTCTCTTATTGGATGATAAATGCATGATAATGGGATAGTTAATTGACACCTTTGGTAATTTTCTATCTCTCTACAAAACTAACTTGTCCCTGTTTCATTGGGGACGGCGGTGCCCGAGTGGTTAAGGCGTCTGATCATCAATGATCTCTAGCCATCCACTAATAGGTTGTGAGTTGGAGGCCTACTTTGGCCAATCGCCAGGAACTGGCCACAGGTCGGTTGTTTTTCTTACTGGACAAAGGTTTTCCCTCTATCACCACCAAAACCTGGCACATCTTTAAATGACCATAGCTGTTTATTATAGAACAAAAAATAAATACAAACTATTCCATCAGTTTTCATGATTCATATTGATATATATATATATATTTAAGTAGATGCACTTTGTCTATACTTGACTCTGCTCAATCCAGATTTTTGTTTAAATTAGTTGAAGAATTTTGTTCCATTAACAACAATTTGGTCCTATGCGTGTCATTCATTTAGACACAGTGTATTATAATGATATTTTGGTGTTCTGTGTATAACTTGTATAATATCTTCTCTGTTACATTTTACCAGAAAATGGACGGAAACCTACAGTTGATCACCATAAACAACGAATTGAACAGTCGAGCAAAGTGGACAAACCACAAAGTGAACCCACAACAGTTGTGCACAAACCAAGAACAGAGTTCTCCCCAGTAGGAAATAAATCAAGAATGGATTACTCCCCTGTTGGAAATCAAACAAGAACTGATTTCTCGCCAGTAGGAAATAAATCAAGAACCGACTTCTCCCCAGTAGGAAATAAATCAAGGACTGATTTCTCCCCTGTAGGAAATAAACCCAAAACAGACTTCTCCCCTGTAGGAAGTAAACCAAAGACAGATTACTCCCCCGTTGGTAGTTCACCAAGGACAGAGAATGTGGTTAATAGATCTGTGAACGATAGGTCCACAAGTGAGTCTTCATTTTCATATAATAAATTTTCCGGAGAACCTTCATATAAAAGAACTGTTTCAGAGTCTAGTCGAACCTCCGTCGAACCCAAGGAGAAGTCTCCGAGTGTCATGAGTCGGATAGAGTTGTTAACTAATCCAGGTAGGTTTATCCATATTTCTCCGGACACCTGAGATTTCCCGTATTTATATATCTTGTTTTGTTCAACAAAAATTATCATGGAGCAGTAAATTAAAATATTTGTCCTTAATAAAACCATATTTTATCATGTGCTTATGAAAGTATAAATATCCTTCAACAAGCCCAGAGGGCCTGGACACCTATAAACTCGGACTCAATGTAGGGGGTGGGCTTATTACAGGACGAGGAATAAGTGTTTCAGCTTATCTGTATTTGAAAATCGACAGGCTTATTATCAGGCATGGGTTTATTACTGGATAAAAGGGTGGAATAAGTATTTTTCCAAATCACCAAAAACGGGATTTTACGAGGGTTCAGTGTTATATAACATATGGTTGTGAAATGAGATAAATAAACAAATACACCTGTCTTTTACAGAAATAAATGTGTCCTACTTAAAATTTGAATTATATGTTTATTTCTGTATATATTTCCCATTTATGGTGAATATAAGTTTGCATATATTTCACCAACCTTGGGTTACCTTTACAGCCAAGACCCAGGACACTGAGAGTCGAAGCAACGGTCCACTAAGTCCGTCCAGTTCCACGTCATCGTACAGGTCGCGAGACAAGCGGTCGGTGTGAGTATAAGTCTGTTTGGCTATAAGTATACAGACAGACGGCATGTCGCCGCATGTCGTTCATCACATGTTTAATTCCCGAGTCGTGCACTGCATGCGCCCAATTTTTTCCCGCATGACACATTTGCGTAACAATTTTTTTCAATACCCGAATGTTGTCATGGACCAAATAATATAACGAAATATTGTTGCATACAACATTTGTTGTGGTTTACCTGGATGTTTATAAATATTGTCACATACTCAAATGTTGCCATTTATCGTTACCTGTATGTTATTTCATATAAAATATATCATTGCATTAAAAAAAAAAAAAAATCCAACATTACTGTAGAATCGTTTATTTGCGTGGGGTTAAAATTTCGTGGGTTTCATATACTATCCTGTTTCAAGGACATTATATTTCGCTGATTTCTGATTTTCCCCTATCTATATCATACCAAATTTATGTTTTCATGGAGATTTAATTTCGTGGATTTTTGTTATCCACGAAATTTAATGTCCCACGAAAATTCATGATTTTACAGTACGTCATTTTCAAAAACAATCTCATTTGTCATGATGCTTTCATTTCATGAAATAAATACTGTAATGTTAACCATGTGTATATCATTGCATACTTAAAGATGCTGTTATGAACGTTTGTATATTAAAATGTTGACATATGTCAAATTGTCATCATTTTAACAATATTTTGACACTTGTTGGAGTATCATTATTTTATCATAAAATTGTCACTTACTGAAAATAAATGTATAACTTTGATAACGTCTTCAGAAAAGTGCAGATAAAGTATGTTTATGGAGATTGAGTCTTGGATTTTCGAGGTAGTAACTGCCGTCAATAATATACTTATGACTGATGACAATGACACAGTCTGTTGATATCAAACTGACCTTAATGTATATTCTGGATGTAATTTTATGAATGAAATCGATAGTAAGTGTGGGAATGATTAACATTATAGTAGTAAATAGATAATTTCAAGATCGCTGTTGTTTATTTCACACTTGATGTGCCAAAAATTTTACCAAATTTTACACCATTTCCAAATAACTATAATTATATCAGTTACCTGGAACTTAACTTCAATCTGATGACCTTTGATGCACTTAAATCTTTCTGATAGATTTCTGAAGTGTTAGTAAATATAATTTATATGTATACAGGAGTCATGGTACTTCAATATTATATTAGACAACAACATCATTTACTTATCAAGGACAGGCCCAACCTTTTAAGCATGCATGTTTTGTTGTATGATGTTGATGTAAGAATTGCATTTTAAGATCATCTAGCTCTGTTGATATGGCCGCATGGATAATCAGTTTGGAGAGTATGATTTACATGAATAATAAATTTGGGAGAATACCTTTTGATGATTAGTGTGGAGAGTATGATATACATAGATAATCAGTTTGGAGAGTATGATTTACATGGATAACAAGTTTGGGAGAATACCTTTTGATAATTAGTGTGGAGAGTATGATATACATAGATAATCAGTTTGGAGAGTATGATATACATGGATAATAAGTTTGGGAGAATACATTTTGATAATTAGTTTGGGGAGAATGATATACACAGATAATCAGTTTGGAGAGTATGAATTGTTAATTAGTTTGGAGATTACATAAATTGATAATCAGTTTGGAGAGTAAGATTTACACTGATAATAAGTTTGAAGAGTAGACATTGATATTTAGTTTGAAGAGTATAAATTGAAAAAATGTTTTCAGAATATAAAAATTAATGTAAATTGATAATATTAATTTGGAGCTTATCAATTGATAATCAGTCTAATGAAAATAAAAATGTTTGACAAAAGTTCTATGTTTCCATATTACTGTGTAATAAAGATGCAATCTTAAGTTTTCAAATTGATTAAAACTTTTCAATTGGTTTGATCTCAACTCATAAGGAAAATAGTTGTTACAAGGTTGGATGAGTTATGTCCCTTGCAATCATTCTGACAGTGTTGTCTCCCCTTAAGAGGGTATCTCAATCAGATGCTGGAATGCTAGCTGACTGCATGGAAACTTGTCTGCGCCAATGAAACATTTGATAGTTATTGCACATGCAAGTTTTTCAGAGACATGTACAGTTTAGTATTGGAATTGAGAAGTTGGTTGATTAATTCATCATGGTTTTGAGTTCCATCTTATAAAAATTGACAAGTTATCCATTCCTGCATGACGATGTTGTCACGACCTTTTTGTCAGTTGTCGGCATGTTGGCCTTTAGTTAATGCTTGGCTGTTCTGTGTTTATTGAGAAATATGTATGTAATTTCTAACTCTTTAACAATAAAACTGGAAATTTTTATGTGAATTTCTTTGCCAAAAAATAATTTGATACATGAACTTTTCAATAAGATCACATAGGGCTATTAATCTGCATCAAGATGTGTAAGAAAAAGAAATGGTCAGTTTTATTTTCTGTAAAATTCATCATTGAAAAATTGTGCATGAAACATGACAATTTATGATAGAAAAAGTGATAAATTTGGTTTCAATGTTTTCAATGAGAATCACATTTTATGATATATGGCTTATATTAGACAAGGCAATTGAAAGCTCGGCTAGATATATATATATATATGAATATTCATGTATTTATACCATTTGGTGAATGTTGAATGTTCTGTTTCTCGTGGCAATCATTGGCTGGTTATGTCTAAGCCTAAAACACAATCATACATTTCCATATTCTGTTTTTACAGAGATTACGAAATCCCTGAGGATTTACAAGAATTCTTCAAATATCTTGAGTAGGTCATATTCCATCTTTGGCTGGTTCCTTTTGTTTGTTCAAGTTGTATTCATCCCTCCTTTCTTCCTGTTTTCCTTGTTTTTTATCACGTATACTCATGATGTCTTCATGTTTATTTGTTTATTTTCTTACGTACAATCAGATTTTGCATATATTTATAAATATACATACATATATTATTCAGTATTGATTGTATACACATATCGATAAACCCTTTCACCACTGTAGACCACAATGGACTCGTCCATATCAATGCATGGTAGAGCCTACTAAAGTTACATAGAGGTGAAAGGGTTAATTAACACAGAGTTGTGTTTCATCTTTCGTTCAAAATAAAAAAAAAAAATGGTGTCTTTTTCCTAACAGCATGGTATTACATTGTCCTTCACCCTCGTATGTTACAAAGTCTTTTATGGTTATTAAAGTTCCTTATTAAAGTAAAAATTTTAAACAAAAATTTCGAACCTTATACAAAAGGGAGAATAAATTTGAGAAAATTAAATCAGAAAAAGTATTCACTAAAAAATATTAAATTCTGGACAAAGTTGTAAAGAAATGTATTCATTAAAAAAATAAAATTTTGGGCGTAAAATCATGCCATACAGTGTTTTAAAACTGTACCTAACTTAAATCAACCTTACTCCCCTATTTACATACAGTGGACTGATCCAAGGTAAAAGGAAGGGGCTATTGTAGCTTCCCTGGGGGGTATAGGGTTCATTTGTTATTCAGTTTGAAATTTACAAAACGGCTGATGTCTATGTAAGTTTAATTAGTTAATAAGAAGACCATGATGTTTGATAGCTGACCTAATTAATTTATTCACTGTACCATGACCAAAATTCACAGTCTAGTTGATTAATTATTGACTGTGACATATAATTTTATGAAGAAAAAAAATGTTATCGCTTGTTTGGCATTCAATGAAATTGACATTTATTGCCCCATTTCCTGTAATGGTGTCAGTGTTATGAATTGCACAGGAGCCTGACAAACTGGTACTGTAATAATGAACACAGGGGCCTGACAAACTGGTACTGTAACAATAAACACAGGGGCTTGACACACTGGCAAAGAAACAATGAACACACTTTAAAAATGAACACAGGAGCCTGACAAACTGTTTGGTTACAATAACACAGGGGCCTGACATTTATTCTGTAACAGTCTTTGCAAGGGCCCCGAGAACAGCCATACAAGTTCATTTACCAGTCATAAATTCTGACAGCTTGAACAGGGCTATGTATCAAATATTTTTCAGTCAGAGACTTTGTTTTTTGAACGGTTAGCTTTTCATCTCCATGGTAACCAGACTTTGCTAATTAAATCTCCGCTGCTCTTTTTGCCACTGAAATCCTTGTTATTCTGACTGGCTAGTTTTAATTTAATCATCCAGGTTTAGGTTTGAAATAATTTCAAAATGAAAGAATTAAACGGAACAATTGAAATGTAAAATTTGTAATGAAGTTATGAACTTTGCTGTTGGAGGTATTTCTGGATCTGTTGATTAATTTTGTTGACTTTTTAGAAATATATTTTCTCTTTTTAAATATTTTGCTTGTTAACATTTTGTCAATGAAAATCTGAATCATTCTTCAGTATAAAAATAAAAATAGAAGAAGATACCAAGACAGTTATCTAAATTTGTTTTGTCAGGATCGGTCATTACGTAGACACATACTTGCTGTCAAATTACCTTCTCTGTAATACACCAGATGTCCTATATCTTAGTTAGGAAATCAGGACCACTATATATAAGTATGATAGCGTGGGACATTGTCGATAAGACTGAGGGACATTTATAGATAACCTTTGACCTCTTAAGTCACAACTAGTACGATAAGATTTGATAAAAATTTGCCCGTAGAAAGTTGTAAACAATAGCGTGAGAAGGATGTGTTCATGTCCTTACGTAAGTAAATAATGTTTTAATATAAGTTAAAATATACAGATTATACACACACTCAAATTTAAATATGAAAGCAGAAAACATTGTGTTCAGTTGCATTGGAAGGAAGTTAAGGGTTAAAAAAAGTCTAAATAAAGTTTTACTTACAATGCACCGATAGGTCTTTTTTGCCAGTTAAAAACTATTGTTAAGCAAAAATTAGATATATTATAATATACAATTCATTGACTTAACACTTTCACCACTGTAGACCATAATGGACTCGTCCAGATTAATGCATGGTAGAGTTTACTCAAGTTACATGGGGTGAAAGGATTACCAATCCCAAAACTAAGTAACTATAAGTATCAGAAACTGGGGGTTTTTGGCAATACTATGTGTGATCTTGATAAATCATTCCTGAAAATAAAACTATATAGCTTGTAGGATTTTTATGAAAAATAATAAATAATAAATAAACAAAATATAATCAGACCTGAATAAGAACCACAGACTTCAGTTTGTTATACTATCTCTGTCAGCAATTGAGCTACCTGGTCATCAGAAGTGTACTAGCCCAAATGTGCTTCGGTTTTATATCGAAACGGAAGTTAAGGGGAGGTTACTGTACGTGTATAGGAAAACTGGCGGTGTAGTGGGACAGGGATCCTTGATGTGCTACATTTATTCAGCAATAAGCCCATGCCTGGCAATAAACCCACGCCTGGCAATAAGCCCATGCCTTGCAATAATCCCACGCCTGGCAATAAGCCCATGCCTGGCAATAAGCCCATGCCTTGCAATAATCCCACGCCTGGCAATAAGCCCATGCCTGGCAATAAGCCCATGCCTTGCAATAATCCCACGCCTGGCAATAAGCCCATGCCTGGCAATAAGCCCATGCATGGCAATAAGCCCATGCCTGGCAATTATCCCATGCCTGGCAATAAGCCCACCAATATATATATATATATAGTAATTCAATGGAAATATCTACAAGTACTTTTTCATTATCCAGTAACACCCCCACCCCATCTTTGTGTCAGAGTTGATATGCTGAGCCCTGGCTTTATTGCATGATGAATACTGTACTCTGTAATAATTAAAGCTAAGAATGAATGTAAATGATACAGTCTTATTCATTTTCCTTAATAAAAAATGTCTTACAGTTATACTTAAACCTCCAAAAACATCATGAATTGTTACCTACAAGGATCTGACATGTAAAGTTTTCCTGGGGTTCAGTGATGTCATTGTGTGGGTTCATATACTACATATACAAATGCATGTGTTACTCAGAAACTCTACCATCAATTATCCAGAAATTCACAGATTATATCTATTTTAATAATACAGTATAACCTGTATTAATCAAACCTTGTATAATCTGGAAAAACTTGTATAAACCGAACCTTCATCTTTGTCCTTTTGGATGCAGTTCTGTGTAAAATGAACCTGTATTATCCAGAACATGTCTTTCCTAACAAAATGTATGTCTCTTTGATTGTATGATGTATGGCTCGGATAAATTTTACTGTAACATCAGAACCCTGAGAATTAGTATTTTATTCAACTACCCAGAAGGCCTTTAGAATGACGGTTTAAGTACAAGATCTAAACAAAGGCTCACTATATTTCACTGTTTTATCTGCAGATGCTTTCTGTAGTAATATTTCAGTGTATTGCTAGTTATATAGATTTAATGCAGGTTAAATGGGCTCATATTACCTGTTTAGTTCGCATATTTGTGAGCCAAAGAGAAGGGTAATATCAAATCTAGACAGGTAATATGATGATCCTATTAGACCTTTATAAAATCTATGTAACAAATTTGTCATACTGCAAAACAATTACTGTAGAATGTAGAAATGTTTTTCCAAACATGACTTAAGCTTTTATAAATCAAGTTTGAAAAGAAAACCATGCCTTGCAGAACTTAAATGAAACAAAATGTAGAAAAACTCAATAATAGTGTCCCAAGTGTAAAAATGCAACTGTACCAGACTGCGATTCGAATCCTGGTCCTCTGTTTACTGTTGTTCCAACCAACTGAGCCAGGTGGTCAATAGTATTACCCTGGTCCAGTTGTGCTTCAATTACATTCAAAAAAAATATTCAAGGGGAGATTACTCTATGAAAAAAACACAGTGGAACTCTTTAGTGTTTTTCCTGCAGTCGGACAGGGCTCCTTTAACAAACCTAAAATAACTGATTTTAAATGGAATATATGATATAGCTGAACCTCAAAGTGCCATGTTTATTTTTACAAGATGACACTCACAGTCATCCTTAACTCATTCACCCGTGAGTTTCATAATGAACTATTCCAACCCCTGAATTGGAAGAGTTCAAATGTGTCTTCAGGGGTGAATTTAAGTTAAAAACCCTGGGGGGCAAATAGGGAAAAAATATTCATTAAATTGATATATTGATCAATTAATAGACTTGACGAATAAATTTTCTATACACATGGGGTAAGACAAAGGGAATGAATAAAATATTATTAATCATTATATCTACATTAAAGATATTTATAATGATTTATCATTGAATCATTTATGAAATTGAAATAACATTGAAGTCAGATCAAAAGAATAACAAAAACAAGAAATGAATATAGAAATGTATTTCATGTGTAGCAGCTAGGAAATGTGAATCTCCACGGAAAATGTCATATAACTATTTCAGGAATATAATCATGATAACAGTGATATTGTATGAGTTTTACCTTAAATTGCTTTTGACAAAAACACCCAGAGTTTGCTGTCAGATTTCTGTTGAAGTTGAAAGCAGTATTGACGTGATGTTTATGACAGTTATAGGAAGAACGATGAAATGTAATTATTGCCTGCCCACACCTGGCGTCTGTATCATCTGTTAGAAGCGAGACAGGATCGGTTACATTAAAGCTTACCAAATCAAATTACGTGCATCTGTGATCACGACAGGCGCTGACAAAGACAACGTTTTACATTTAACTGAGAAACATATTGAACAGAATTGACCCCAGAAACGTAACAGCTGTTTACATATTGACGTTTTTGATTCAATTTTTTTTTTTTATGTTTGTTTACAGTGAATGGTCTCCGCCTAGCGTGCGGTCTAAGATTGAAGTTTATCGTAACCAGCCTCGAAGTATTGTCGATTACGAACCCGGCTTCTCCTCTATAGCATTTCAAGAATCAAAAACGGTAAGCATTTTTTTTAAAAGATATTAATAAAGACAAAATATGGTGAAAATGATTTGGTGAATTTTGTTTAATTACAGGTGTTTTCCGATATTTGAAAGCATGCTTGCTTTTTTTGTTCACACACACATGGACTGATAGGGGTAGATAGATATGCAACGCATGTTTGCTCAGTCAATATTTGTGCATGCACAGGCATGGGCAAAACACCAATTGAGCATGCTACGAATCTCCCAAACCTATCCGTCAAGTTTTATGTGATTATTACAAATAGTCTTAAATATCGACATTTCCCAGGGAAGAGGGCGTGAAGGGAAATCTACTTGTAGCTTGTAAAAATTATTTTTCCGTAACCGTATATTACAACTTGGCTTCTTTGAGGTGCATCAAGCAAATCGTGCAGTGTGTCAAAACCATCACAATTTCAATAATTAGTTATAAAAAAAATATTCTCATTAGGGTATATAATGTTGTATAAATAGGCAAAAAATTTTCAGAATTATTTTGAAATATTGATAATTTGATCGTAAAGTCCCTTAACGGTCGTTAATTTGTTGTGCTGGGTCGGTCGTCATTATATTAGCCGCGCTTTCAGAGAAGGTAACCATGGCAAAACAACACTTTAATTAGTTCTAATTGAATGTCACGCCTACCTGCACCCAGATCCGGTGTAACGAATCTCCCAATACGATAGTATTGTAACGTTGATAGTATTGTAACGTTACGGTAAAATTGATATCCAGATGAAATCGAGATCGCAACCAGATGATTTATTGATACTAATCACACCTACTTCAACGTTTTGGTTTTAATCTGCGTGGATCTAGTCTCATCAAAACATGACATACAGGTTTTCTTGAGTACTGACTTCCTCAGCGATAGGATGAAAAATTCAACCCCCAGAGATGAACTAAATACGGAATGTTCATGATATTTTCTTTAGGAGGGGTGGAAATGATGGAGTGTGGGGGTAGGGTGTCGCTGCTAGTGTCTAAAGGGTGAAGGGGGCTGCTGGGGGTGAAAAAATGGAGGTCCCCAAGGGTCTGTATCAGATTGCTATCTATCAGTGATAAGCTACGTGTATCCGTCCAGGTATGATAACGAGATACAGACAGGTAGGTACACACACTCACACACCTGGCTACAAACTAATCAATATCCCTGACTATTGATTCAGCGACGACGACCGTGTGTGTTAATTTGTATGGGGTACTCCAGGGGTAGCCAAGGGGTTTCATGACAAGTGCTGTTTTCTACAGGAAGGCGTCCACTCGGGGCCCGATACTCAAGATTGTAATCGAGTAGGTAAGCTGTAAATTACATGGTATCTCCCAGCACACGTGTAAGTACACAGAAATACAGGTAGCCGTGGTTTTATAACGGCATATGTCCTCAAGTTAGATTAAGACACCGGGGCACATCAGAGGACTCAACATGGCTGTCTGGGTACCCAGCGGATATAAAACAACAATGATGGGACGCTGATTCGGCTGCACGCCTGTCCGTTTGGAACGTTCATTACAACAAATCAATAGGTTGTTGACATATAGTCGGTGAGAAAAATGAGGTGCGATTCTCACCTTAATGTAACAAGAAACTTTTACCTCACCTGGTCGTGAATCTTGCATCTTGTGTTTAGTGCGTGCGTGTGTGTGTACTTAGCTCTGTGTTTTTTTTAAATGAATGTAGCTGATCACCCATTGTGTTTTACTGCATGGACAGGTTTCAGGACGTCTCAGGTCTCTATCTGTCAACACGGCCGCGCTGGACAAAAGGGCTAGAAAGCCACACAAACCAAAGGTAGATGTATTGAACTGTTGTGTACACCTACTACCAGTAGTCTCTGCGGCTTTTTTACTGATGCTATACATGGTCTTGTTTACCGTAACTTTTAATCTGTCGTCCACACGTTCCTGTAATTTTGTACCATCCCCCTTTGGTCAGCGGCTAATGACAGCGTCCAGTACTCTAACACCTAATATTGGCACACACTTTTTTTTGTCTTTCGTACACTCACATAGGAAGAATTTGATTTTTTTTTTTGCTATCCTATATTTTAATCTATTTGTATTTCCTCAATATTTGCACAAAATTCCCATCTGTTTGTTTATTATCATTATGTAACAGCAGTTCTGATTGGTTGAACCAAAGAAGTATTATGTACATTGTATGTATTGGTAAATCAAGGGCTGTAATAATATATTTTATATAATCATTGGTGTATGAAACTTGCTGAATTTTGAAATAAAATATCTTTTTTTGAAAATGTTCGGGCTCTAACCCTTTCTCAGTCACACTGAGGATAAGTTGTTAATTGAGGAAAATTTGTGTAGGAAACAGAAATCTATGCAATTTTTCTTTTGTAAGAGATTAGAAGGGCAGGTACCCAATATTCTGTGACATTTGTTAAAAGGTATGTTTCCCTTTGGAGACTTTTAAAGTTACGGTTTCCATAAATAGTTCTAATTTATCATGAATTAGGAAAGCTGGACACTTCATAGTTTGTTTACAAATAAACGCACAGTAGATTGTATACCTACATAGATCTTGATACGGTGCACAGTGGGGATTGTATAGTATGTATATAGAGATGTTTTATAGATTTACGTGTATGAATAGGCTCGGGCCTTGCCTACTTATTGATCCCCGAACACATCTGTGTCCCGCAGACAACCCTGATTACCTTAGCTTATAGACCATATAAACACTCAGTAACGAACTTAGACCCATTAACTAGTCACAGCTTCCACACTCGCCACGTCTGGCTAGGCACAGGTAAGTCTGCTTCCGTAGACAACTTGATTCTTGGCAAAATTTACGAGAAGATAATTAGGTCTGATTCAGTCGTTCTGAGATTCATGCTCTGTAGGGAGAAGAAGATGGGAGCCAAAACTTCTTTTAAAAATATTTGTCCAATATATCAACAAGCATATATAGAATCATTTGTACGATTTGGTTGAATATTAAATGTTCTAACACTTCCCTTCTTTGTTTCGTCTTCTCTCTTGGGTTTTTTTTCTCTCTCTCCAGAATTTATCATTTTGTTTTGTTCAATTATGTTATTGATCATTTTTGTTATTATTATTATTGTTATTTTATGTTTGATAAAAGATAAAGTTATAAGTTTAAAAGTTTAAATATATGGATTTCCATTCTTCAGGACAAAAATAATTTTGTTTTATTTCTTTGTAAATTGTTACTTCTGTTTATTCATTTGTATTATGAATTTATGAAACTGAATAAAAATGAATAAATTTGTTTATACAACTACATAACAAAAATAGTATGAAACTAAAACATATTTGAGATTATAAAGGATTATCACTAAAAAGTGCCATGTTGTACTCCCAACCTTAGAATATCCTTGTTGTACACCTTGATTTAAACAGGCATACCAAAGGAAATATGTGTTTTACAACTTAATTAAATGCATAACAACAGGATATTCTTTTGTACAATTCAATTTAAATAGACACATCACGACAGGAGTTCCTTGTTGTACACCTTAACTTAAACACATCACAACAGGAGATCTTTGTTGTACGCCTTACCTTAAACAAACACATCACAACAGGAGATCTTTGTTGTACACCTTAACTTAAACAGACACATAACAACAGGAGATCCTTGTTGTACACCTACACTTAAACAGACACATCACAACAGGATATTCTTGTTGTACACCTTAACTTAAACACATCACAACAGGAGATACTTGTTGTACACCTTAACTTAAACAGACACATCACAACAGGAGATCCTTGTTGTACACCTTAACTTAAACAGACACATCACAACAGGATATTCTTGTTGTACACCTTAACTTAAACAGACACATCACAACAGGATATCTTTGTTGTACACCTTAACTTAAACAGGCACATCACAACAGGAGGTCCTTGTTGTACACCTTAACTTAAATAGGCACATCACAACAGGAGATCCTTGTTGTACACCTTATCTTAAACAGACACATCACAACAGGATATTCTTGTTGTACACCTTAACTTAAACAGACACATCACAACAGGAGGTCCTTGTTGTACACGTTACCTTAAACAGACACATCACAACAGGATATTCTTGTTGTACACCTTAACTTAAACAGACACATCACAACAGGAGATCCTTGTTGTACACCTTAACTTAAATAGGCACATCACAACAGGAGATCCTTGCTGTACACCTTAACTTAAACAGACACATAACAACAGGATATTCTTTGTTGTACACCTTACCTTAAACAGACACATCACAACAGAAGATCTTTGTTGTACACCTTAACTTAAACAGACACATCACAACAGGAGGTCCTTGTTGTACACCTTAACTTAGACACATCACAACAGGATATTCTTGTTGTACACCTTAACTTAAACAGGCACATAACAACAGGAGTTCCTTGTTGTACACCTTAACTTAAACAGGCACATAACAACAGGAAATCCTTGTTGTACACCTTAACTTAAACAGACACATCACAACAGGATATTCTTGTTGTACACCTTAACTTAAACAGGCACATCATAACAGGAGGTCCTTGTCGTACACCTTAACTTAAACAGACACATCACAACAGGAGGTCCTTGTTGTACACCTTAACTTAAATAGGCACATCACAACAGGAGATCCTTGTTGTACACCCTAACTCCAATAGGCATGCCAAAGTATCCAAGTTGTACTTCACCTATGTCATCACAAAACCACAAATGTTTTTGACTTCATTTTATGCACACACTGCCGTCATCAGTCACTGTCTATGATAAACACATCTGATCTGTTACCGTCTCCACCATTTTTTAAGACAACTTGGATTAGAATGGGACGACACATAGAAGCATATTTTGCTGTATTTCATGCTTTGGTTTAGTGATGCTATACAGATTTTTGATGTAGGCTGGTTTGGTTGGTGGCTAAGTAGCTTGTTTTGCTACATTGGTGGGTTCCCATAATAGGAGCTGCTATAGAGAATGAGTGTGTTTTGCTAAGTGCTACTTTGGAGCAATGCATGTTTAAATATAGATTGTCAGTCAGACTTTAGTTAGTAACAAAGCTTTTTAAAAATATTTGCTGGCATTTTGTATGAATGGTTAAAAAAATATAAAAAAAAACACATTTCATTACATTTTTTTTCTCCACTTTAATTAAATAAATATTTTGATAGTTCAATGAACATTTTCTTTTTTCACTCAAATAAAAAGAAAAACTGAACACTGAACGGATTTTTTTTGCTTCATTTTAACTTTTGTCTTTTATATTGTCCCTCTAATAAGTCAGGGAAATTGTCATTACCGCGGATTTTAGTTAACAGTTTCATACACATACACTGTATTCAAATGTGCAGGGATAAATTAACGCTGGTGAAATATTGGTATTATCGACAAAAGGCAAAAGATTGACGGAGCAAAATTATTCCGTTATACATCTTTCAGAAATTTCAAAGTACCAACTTGTTTTCCAGGTCTCGCCAAAAGTACTTTTATGTTATGAATATATATATCAATAGGCAATATGACTTGTTATTATTTACATCGACAAGACCATTCCAATTTCCGTTAATTATGATCAATATTATCACGATAATAAAAACTAAATCTATTTCAGAACAGCAGTATTGTGATGATATAATTAATTATTTCTTGCAGAAATTTAAAAATTGTGCTTTGTATGCATGCAATGTTTTCTTAGAGTGAATTCCTTGGGTTTTATTAGAGAATGGAAATAATTGGAAAAGAAATGCATGCTTGTCTGGGTATTTTTATTAGTTTTGTGATATACTTAACCCATGCACCCCTCAAGTCACATTTAAACCTTACCAAATCAACAACTGGGCAAGTCTATTTTAAATATGTAGGGGTGAATGAGTTAACTATGCCTAGTGTTAGCTGATTAACAGTCTTAAAGATTTCAATTTATTCAAAGTTGAATTTTGACAGATGATCAAACAAAATTTATAATGTACAATATTGAATTTTTCAGCAAAAAAAGAAAAAGCAAAAAAAATAGAATTTGTCCACAGGCAAGAAATTTTGAGGGATAGATACTGAAAAATAATTGCATCTTAAGTGGTTTAGAAACTGATTCCCTATATTTTTTTCTCCAAAATAAGTTGTCCTTACCACATTTATTCAAAACCTTTAGGTCTGTCACAGTAAGGATATTATATTATAATCATAATTAAAAAAAAAAAAAATCTTAAAAATTTGTTTTTATCAAAAGGGCAAACCTTAGCACTGCAAATAAGTTTATGTTTTAAAAAACAGTTTCAAATTCTGCTTTAAAAAACAGCCACTTTGAAACAAGTGTTTGCAGAAACAGCAGAGAGCTTATATTACGATGTACATGTATCTTGTTTACGAGTCGATGGTGGTTCTGTCACCTCTGCCTGAGTTGATTTAATGAGGAGACAAGATGTGCTACACCAACAGACACCCTGTCTCTAAAAATCAATAAAAGTACATGTATTGATTTAATATAGACACAGTTTTCCCACTTATTGTCAAATTTCGGGAGCTAATGTTTTTCGAAAGACGAGCTATTTTTGGAAGTATGTCAGTTCATTGAAAATAAAAAGTAAAAAAAAAAATTTTAACTAAAAGTTGTTCCGAATAATCAATATTTATGCACTTTTAAATTTAAAAAAATGAAATTCAACATTTAATGTCATCAGACTTAACTTGCCTATTAAGTTTGCAGCCTTATAAACACCGTCATCTGCCCAATACTGTCCACTGATTGGCTGAATCCTGAATCAATAGTTCAAGATTACTGCCAGATTTCAAAATTTTATGCATGTAATTGGCATTAAAAATGACCTAGTTTTTTTACTATTGAATTAAGGTCATCATTCTCACATGTTTTAAAATTTTCAATAAGAATTTTTTTTTTTTCATTTATTTTCATGCAAGGTTCTATTTAAGTTTTTAAAGGAGCAGTCAGGAAAAAGGAAATTCTTTCTGCATTGCCATGGTAATACTAATTGAGTTTTTTCTGTGTGTTTCAGACTAACATCCACAACCCACCCATTGACAAGCCAGGGGAGATAAGTCAATAGTAAGTACATTTCTTTACAATCATTTTATGTGTTCCAGATCTTTTTGTTCTGCCTCATAAGGCCAAGTGGATCCAGCTGATAAGCTCTTTATTTCAGTTTGATAATATGTAAATGAGTTGGACTGGACTTACCATTGAGGAAGTATTTTTTTCTGGAATTTGACAAAGTTGACCAATCAGTGTTATGGAGAGGATAGGGCAAGCCGTGGCTTATCTTGCATTTTACTGTTCCCCCACCTCAAAAAAACCCAAATATGTAAACGCACTATCGATATTGCTGATAGAAATTTGAAGACAGGATTTTCAACTTCCTTGATATAGTCCTGACTGGCATGTATTGCTGTGAGATGTCAGTTCAAGGGGACTGTGTAACTTGTTAATAAAATATAAAATCTTGACCAGACATTTATTAGCCTGCAGGTACTTTCATATTTATAATCTTGGAGTTTCATTTGTAGCCCTTAGCTGGTAAAAAACAACACTTCTACTACTAGTATTTTTCCGGCTACCTTCATTGAAAAATTTAGAATAATAATAATATGGTACCTTCTAAGAAATAAACTGAAATTTATGACCTACTTAACGTTGGATACATGCGTCTTGATATCTTTTTGAAACCCCTGTAACTTATATGAGATATTCGAATGGGGAATTCACACATAATTTTATTGCATATTGTCTATGAAATAACCTGTGGTACAATTTTATCTGTGGTACAATTTCTGTGGTACAATTTTACCTGTGGTACAATTTTACCTGTGGTACAATTTTATGTGGTACAATTTTATCTGTGGTACAATTTTACCTGTGGTACAATATCTGTGGTACAATTTTATCTGTGGTACAATTTTACCTGTGGTACAATTTTATCTGTGGTACAATTTTACCTGTGTTATGGTTTTTACCTGTTCTGTGGTTTAACCCATGGAATTCTTTTACCTGTGCTATGATTTTACTTATTGAATAATTTTACCTATTCTATGGTTTTACCTATGCTATGATTTTACCTATGTTATGATTTTACCTATGCTATGGTTTTACCTATGCTATGGTTTTACCTATGCTATGATTTTACCTATATTATGATTTTACCTATGCTATGATTTTACCTATGCTATGGTTTTACCTATGCTATGGTTTTACCTATGCTATGGTTGTACCTATGCTATGATTTTACTTATTGAATAATCTACCTATGCTATGGTTTTACCTATGCTATGGTTTTACCTATGCTATGGTTTTACCTGAAGAAAAGTTATGGTCTTCATCATGTGCAGATTTTTAAGAGGGTTTTCATTGTCTTTTCCAAAGACATGTTCACTTGGTCTTAGACTGTTGGTAATATCATATATTATCCTTTAATTGACGATCTGACATCATGACACTCACAAGGCACGAAATGCTAACATTTTATGAGCACTTGTCTCCGTTACCAATTTTTGTTTGAGTTTACAATGTCCTTGCTGATTTGACATCGTCCTCAGGTCTTGCTGTTGTGTTTTTGTGAGAATATTACATAATTTTGTTCTGCGTGTGACACTAAGGTATATTGTATACCCCTAGCAAATGAAGTTTGAGGGAGTATAGGAATCGCCCTGTCTGTCCATCTATCTGTCAACCTCGTAAGCACAACTCCTCCTAAAATGTTTGTTGGATTTCTCCGTAACTTGGCAAAATGAAAGTACATCATATGCAGATGTACTTGAAAAAAGGAATTTGTGATTCGAACTATTTTTCTGGAGTTATGGCCCTTGAAAGTTAAATTTCTGCTCCAGAAACCTTGGGACAGGGAGAGAATATCTTATGTAGATGTACATGAAGGAAGGGTTTTGTGATTTGGGTATAATACCTTGCTCCAAACAAAATTTGAATCCATAGATAAAATGAGGCAGAAGGATATAACGGTGCGAGCTCGCTCACAGTTTTTCTAGATTTCCCCCTAGTCACATAATGCTAAAGTGAATAGACTCACTCTAATGACTTGCAAATCACTCTCCCTAAGCGAAGCGTTCGGAGATTACTCTATGAGAGATGAAAGTTATAACATTGAATTTGAAATTTACGATAATGAGTTGCCTGTAAATAAAACGGCATCTTGACTTTTGCAAACAGTTATAAAAACCTATGACCATGCCAGAGCCGGCTCTAGAATATAATAAAAACCTACGACCATGCCAGAGGCTCTAGACTATAATAAAAACCTACGACCATGCCAGAGGCTCTAGACTTTAACAGTATTACAGTCGTGTCGTAAACACGTCTGATTGGTAGACATTACGGGCGTGACACAAGAAACCCAAGATAAAAACCTGCAGCATTTAAAATTGTATGCAGAAGTGATAAGTAGACCGTAAGGAACAACAATGAAATGTTATTTTTTAAGGATCCTCGTACCACTTCGTAGAAACTGGAACTTAAGTGTTGGAGACTTTGTTTACTGGCATGACTGTCGCTTTGATAAATCAATTGTGAAAAGAAAACCATACCTTGATTGACTTCTTATGAGAAATAATAAAGATGAAATAAACAAAATATAATCAACAACAGCGTTCTGAGTGGAAAAAATTTGGCCAGGCTGGTCCAGCATTCTAACACTTGACTTCAGATTGATATAATATCACTCTAACCAATTGAGCTACCTGGTCTACAGAAGTGTCCTGGCCTAACTGTGCTACAGTCATATCCAAACAGAAGTTAAAGGGGGGCTACTGTATATGCCAAAAACGACAGTGCATTGGGACAGGGATTCTCAAATTGATGTCATTTTTGCATCCATTATGTTTGATGTAATAACTACATAATTTATTCAATTTATGAAAATGAAAATAATCCTCTGATAAGCAACTTGTTACATCATTCATGGAAAATTCATAACTAAACATTAAAAAAAAGGAAGGTTAATTGTATTTCAATGTGTTTGTTGGATATTATTTTGTATTGAAATGTTGACGGTCTGTGGATAAACTTCTGCAATGTTGTGTGTTGTGGATGGAACCTTACTATAAGGTCCTTTTTAATTTAGTAACCAAAATGGTGACATTACTTGTCAGCCTTTAGGTTAAGGGGGACCACTGCACCCCTTAAAAATGTGCAGAAGAGTTCCATTTCAGAGCTATTTGCAACTTGGAGTGTTGTCTCATATATTTAAAAATTTAAACAACTTAGAATATTTTATCTGGTGTAGACTTACTTCCCCTGGCAAGGTATTCATCTTTCATTTTGATACTATACATTTATAATTCTTGGGTAGCAATTTTGACCCAGTGTAGGATAGGCAGAGGCAGTGGTAAGCTCCGTTGTTTTATTCCTGAAATTTCTATTTTTCTTCTTTTTTTTTCTGGTTGTTTTCGAATGCTCAAATTCTGCATAGCTGTAATTCTATAAAATACATTGTAAGATGTGAATATTATGTAATCTTTCTGCAGAAAGTTTCCAACAAGTATTTCATTAAAGTGCTTAGGGTAATAATATATTTTAACTTAAGGGTTCCCTTTACCTTAGATATATATCTCGCAAGTTTCTCAGTGTTACAGTGAAGCTGTGTTCTTGTCGTTTTTATCTAAACAAGAAATTCCCTGTGATATAATACAATGGGTTCTGTTGTGATTTAATATTTAATCAGGAAAATAATCTCATGACTTTAAAAAAACAAGATATCAAAGTAACGTGATGCAGGATTGTTTTACAAATTGGCATTGATTACAACAATAAATGTTTACGAACGTTGTAAAGGACACTCCGGCTCTTGTCAGCTCAAAGCTCAGATCTTTGAAGTTTACAAGTGCTTGACTTGTTCATTTGTAGTCTGCGAGTTCCACCACTCGTAAGATTTCAAATAAATTCTTCAGCCAAACTGGACTTTAGGTCTCGGAATATTACAAAAACCTCCGGTCACTTCAGGATCAAAGTGGCATATTTTGACAAATGTAGGGTTTGTGTTTGGAGTGCTAATTTAAGTCACAGTTACACAGCTCTACCTTGTTCACCCCTGAAGACACATTTGCACCCTTCCAATTCAAAGGTTGGAATGGTTCATTATGAAATTTCAGGGGTGAATGAGTTCATTCGACTTCCTGTGTAGATTTTCACATCACTACGATTCAGGATTTAGGTTTGGCAATGAGTGGAAATCATTTTGTTTGAAATTCAAGATCATAGAAACTTTCATTTTATTTGTTGATCCTTTCAATCGTTTGCTCAAGCAAAGGGCTGTGTCAGAATTATTACCATGTGGCCTGCTCGCCTAAGTCAGACCCTGTAGGGTTCAACACACTGTGTATACCAGAACTTTAACCCATTCACCCCTAAAGTCACATTTAAACCTTACCAAATCAAAGACTGGGCAAGTCCAGTTGAAACAAGTAGGGGTGAATGAGTTAAACAGCCTGACTTTGAAACTATCTGTGTTAGTTTAACTTCTTGTGATGGGGATTTTTTTTTATTTCGGACAACTATTGGTTTGGTTGGTGTTGACCAATTCAGGCAGTTTGTACTGTAGAATATCTTACATGTACAGTAAGACTTTCATATAATGCCCCTTGTTCTGTTTGCCATATCGCTAAAGCCCTAACTATTTAAAGGTCCCCTTTTCTCTATCTTTTAATTGTGGGTTTTTTTTACAATTCCCTTCATTTATCACCAAACCCCTTTATAAAGTCACCACCATTCCTCTGGACAAATAGTGGCAGTATAACAAGGTTTTACTTTATATGACCATGTCTTTTGACATTTGTTCGAGAACTCCATAAACAACCTGTTAAGAGTTTCATTGTACGTGAACATGTAAATGGACAATTATAGACTCTCATTGAGGTGTATACACATAATGATGAACCCTGTTATCTATATTTCAATAAAAGTAAGGTTTCATGTCAATAAAGGGGTTTTATGTGCGAGTTCTTTTTCCTACCTACATACGACCCTATACTTACCTTGTATCTCATCCCTGATTTACGGCCATTTAAAGGCTAAAGGGTTAAGTATTTACTGAGCTTTGAAGA